AAGATAATTTCTTAATGAAAACGACATTTGTTTTACAACTGAATCTAATGAAACTTCAGTTTCAATTATTTTTTTGTAAGTGAGGCACCATGTTTGTTTATTCTGTTATTCAATGCATAAATGAATAGTGTATTATGAACTGAATATTATGAATGAATGCTTAGATATTAATTTTGTATATTACAATACAAGCAAATTTCTCAAAATACATTTTGTTAGATTAAAATGTTTCTGAAATACAAACGTTGGATTTGAAGAAATTTAGAAATAGATTAAAAATTAAAATTATAATGACGCAGGTTAACTCAACATTTTGAGACTGGGATATCGAGCTTAATTTGTGCGAGTCACGAAAAAAGTTAGATAGTTTCATCAGTGGAAGATAATTTCTTAAAGTAAACGACATTTCTTTTACAACTGAATCTAGTGAAACTTCAGTTTCAATTATTTTTTTGTAATTGAGGCACCATGTTTGTTTATTCTGTTATTCAATGCATAAATGAATAGTGTATTATGCACTGAATATTATGAATGAATGCTTAGATATTAATCTTGTGTATTACAACACAAGCAAATTTCTGAAAACATATTTTGTTAGATTAAAATGTTTCTGAAATACAAACGTTGGATTTGAAGAAATTTAGAATTAGATTAAAAATTAAAATTATAATGACGCAGGTTAACTCAACATTTTGAAACTGGGGTATCGAGCTTAAGTTGTGTGAGTCACGAAAAAAGTTAGATAGTTTCATCAGTGAAAGATAATTTCTTAATGCAAACGACATTTCTTTTAAAACTGAATCTAATGAAACTTCAGTTTCAATAATTTTTTTGTAATTGAGGCATCATGTTTGCTTTACTAGGGTAGTGTTACTTAATTCGTTTGAATACAAGATCATCAGCAATTTAATTTTATTAAAGAAATCATTATAGTCATGTTAGAAAAATTTCTTTTTTAGTAATTAAAGAATTAATTTTATTATTGACGGAGCAAAATATTGCGATAACTAGTTAAACAATTATTACATTTATATTAAATTTAACTATGCAGTATATAGATTTTACAGCAATATTTCGCATTTTATTATTTTTAAAAGACATTTGAAAGAAAAATTGAAAACGTTTGTATATTAATTAGTTTTAGGCTACAAAGTTTTATTTTAATCCACTAATTTAAATTCACTGTTGAGATTTAAAGTAATAAAAAAAATTAACCTTAGAAAAGTACACATCCTTATCAGTTTAAACATTATATCATCTCTAATTTCATTTTAAAAAATAAAATTTCATTTAGTTACAAAATGTTTTAAATTATAATTTATAAACTTTTAAGCTCATAATTTAAGCGACTGAGTGCATAAATTAAAATATTTAAAGACCTCATGAAAACTCCATAAAAGCTTTGATAAATTATTAAAAATGAATAATTGCATTTATGCTAATTTCAATTGCACACGACGTTTAATTAAATTAAGTTTAAATAATGCAATGATAATGAAATTAAATAACAGTAATTTTTCAACTTGATGATGATTAAGTAAGCTTTAATGAAAAGATACGATATTACATATTAATTTATTTTTAATTTATTTTAAGAAATTACATATTATTTGCTCGGTGTTAAACTACTGAAATGTCATCGCATGATAATATTACGTGAACAGTTTCTTTTTATTGTTAATTCTTAAAAGGTCGTTGGAAAGAAATTAAAATCCTCGCATATGCAGTCTTGTTCAGCATATTAAAAAGGAATATCATTGAGGTCATAGAGACTGCAATATATAAAATATTGATTTAATTATAAAAAAAAACGGATGGCAGGAAAATAAGGAAAAAGGAATATTTGTTGGCCTCGGCAAGCGGATGTCACACCCCGTAGCAATTCTTTTTATTTAAATGAGTGGCACTTTTCACCTTTAAATAAAATAATGATTTGGGTGGATCTGATTGGATATTTCATCAACAATTAATATAAATTGTTATATTTAGCTTTGACTGAAGTATATTTATGTTTCTTTGTTATGAAATTGTGTTAAAATAATTTTGATGCAAATTTTAAATCTGTATACTTCTACAACTTAGAAAGCAAGTATCCAATACGGTTTGTACACAATAAAATTCATACACAATTGTTCAATTGATATACAAAGACATAAAAAAATGTAATTAAGTATATAATTCGGATCATTTTTATTGAATTAGATTTTTCTTTTTTGAACGATTAAGTACACATGATAAAATAAAAACAAATTTCAACAATTCTGTTAGAAAATTAAAAATGAATATATAAATAGATTATTTATCATCTGTTTATTTATCATCTGTTTATTTATCATCAGATTCATACTATATTTTCATTTATATAAAAATTATAGTTTTTACCAATAATTTCTTGCCACACTCACTCAAAATTTAAAAAAAAAATCTATTTTAAATAAATATTTTATCGTTTTTTATTAAGAAACTTAATATCATATAAATTCTATTAAAATTACCATACTTCATTATAAAGATATTTCTGGTAAAAAAGAAACTATAATTCTTGTAATACAATTAAAATATACTGTACTTAAACCACACATTTGTAATTTTGCCGTTCATATGGTTCACACGGTTTTTTGGAAATTTAGATTTTTAAAATTGTAGTTCTAATTACTTTTAGTAAAAATACAAAACTGAAAAGTAAATTCAGACAAATAAATGGATTTTATGCCAAGCTTTAGGGTATCTTGATAAAATAACCACATTTACCAAATTTTAAAGCAATATTTTATTTTATAGAAATCATTACCAAATTGTTTCGATAAAAATTACCGTTTTTTTCCCAGAGAGCTAAAAATTCGGTAAATGTTACCATATTCTATCAGTTTTGACTATACTTTTTTAAATGTGTATTATCGGGCAAATTAATCTTTTTTTTTAGAACATAATTACTAGATACTTTGTATCAACTTTAAACATGATTCAATTCAATAACCTTTCACAGTTTAAAAAAAATTGCTAAAGATTATGGATGAAGGTTTTTTTAAAAAAAATTTATACTGAATTTCCTGAGAATGCACAACAAACTTACTATTTATGAATTTAAGTTATACTAAAACGATGTATGAATGTTAAGAGGCCAGACCAACGATAAAATAAATTGAATGATCTTAAAAGTAAAAGTGAATGCTGGAATTTAAAAAAAAAATAATAACAAAAATGTTGCAGCAAGGAAATAAATTAAAGTCCTAACTGGTGTCAGTAAAAAATTAACGGAAAATTAATGAGATTAGATGAGGAAAAATCATTGAAGTACTTAAAACGAGAAACGGATTACCTTAAATAACGTTAATCTCATGATCGGATTAACGTTTACTAAGAGACAAAACTAATGGTTCGTGGCTTAGACTTCAAATACGCTAGTTAATTAGGTTAAATAATATTTTAAATTACGGATCCTCAATATGAAGGGGGGGGTGAAGTTAATTACAATATCGAAAATGTAGGCAGAAGATATCGGTCAAAAAATTATATTAGATAAATGTTTTTTTTTTGCTTACTTTGCCATATCTCTGAAATTGTTGGAGCGACTCAAAACCTTTTTACACATATTTACAAAATCGCTTGGTCAATAAGAATTCCATTCAAAATTTTTGTTACTTTTTATTATTAAATTATAATAATAGTAAGTGTATTTATAATATTTATGCATTGCAAAATGCAACAATTTAATTTAAAAAATTTAAAAATAGAAAAAAAAATTAAAATTTTTATTTTTCAAAATATTGTATTTCATTATTTCATTAAAAGTATTGTATATCTTGTATAAGCTCCGTTTACTTTAAAATATAAACTATTTCGTTGAAATTCGTTAAAATATTTTTTTTTGTTGTGTTGCGTAGAAATGCATATAATCATCGCATTGATTAAAAAGAGAAATATTTTAAGCAGTGACCTCTCTTATGCACCACCACTTTTATGTGAATTTTTCATTTCTAAGATGATTTTCACATGTTTCAGCTCATTATGTATATAGAAAAATGATAATTATTATTCACTTATGAGTCACTCTAAAAACCAATATTTCAATTATGTGCGGACATTTTTCTTAGAGTAGCAAATTTTTCTTCTTCTTTAAATTAAAAAAAGGAATCATATTTTTTTTTTTAGAAAAAAAGAAACATCGCTAATCAAATCGCTGATAATGACGTAGATGATGGTAATGATGAAGATGATGAAAAAATTTCTCCAAATCATTCGAAAGCTTTGGAAGTTTAAATTATTTGCTGTTTAATACAGCTACACAAACTTCCATTTCTTATTCGTATGAATTTGAAAAAGAAATATCTTTTTTATAAATTTCTCGTCAATAATAAACTTGTAATTTGTGAGGAAATATTTTTCTTTGCGTAGTTATAATAAATACTAAATAATTATAAATATTAGCATTTATTCTTCTGAAACATTTGCATTCATGTTAACATTGCAATCTATGTTGTGTTTTAGAATTTTGAATAATTTTTTTACTCATGTGTCTCTTTTACTTTTTGCTCTTTTTTCTGTTAGTCTTTAATGTCGGCGCATAAGTGAGAGTTCACTGTATTTGTAACAAATATTTACAAAAGATTTCAAAGTAAAATTTATCTGTGATTAATATTATTTTATATGCTTTATTCACTGGTTCATTTTCGCATTATACACTGTCAAATTTCCGGATCAAATTACGATATCAAGTACCGGCATCATCCGTAAAATCCATTTTACTATAAAACTCTCTTTTACAATAATATTTATTTAATTAAAATGATATAGTGATTTTACTGTTATTATTACTGTAAAAATAATGGTATATCAGATTTTTTGTTTCGTAACATATTCTGGTTAAAGTGAATTTTACGATAAAAAGTACCATGAAATTTAATTCCAATACTTTTACTGTAATTTGATCCAGAATTGTTTGCAGTGTAGTTCCAGAATAATTGGACATTTTTTATTGACTGTGAAATCTTTTTTTTTAGATACATATGACAACGACATTCCATCCAAAGATCCACCATTCATAACTCTTTAAAATAGATTAATCATGGAAATAATGAGATTTCAAATAGTGTACTGGCTATGGGTTATTCTTAAGATGACAAGTAGTTTTGATCATAACAAGAAAATTCATCGTACTAAGCCGGTAAGTTTGACTAATTTTTTGTAACATCTTTACAACTATAAATTTGGTGATTTTTAAATACATATTAGTCAATGGTTTTAATAAGGACTCGTAAATAGATAAAAATTCAAAAAAAGAAAAATAATAATTAAAAATAAATAAGTATCTGGGAATTTTTAGCAATGAAACTGAACAATATACTTACATTTTTTGTAGTGTTTATATGTAAAATATTTACAGTGTGCTAGAAAACAATTTGTTCGAAATAAGTGAAAAAATTCCAGAAGACCCCCTGCAGATTGTATAATCGTGATGACTGCCTACAGTGCTTGCGACAATCATTTACAGTCATTTCAAATTCTCATGGCATTATGAAAATCCAAACAAGTTTCTCAAAACAATAAAACCCGGAAAAAGTCTGTTTCTTTTTTAAATAATTTAGTTGAACAAATGGCGTTTATAATTAAATGACTATGGTATGACCAGATCTTAAAATTTTTGGTGAAAACTAAATTAAACTTAAAACAATGTTTACATTGTCTTTTTCAGTTTTATTTACCCCATATGTTTAAACTATATTGTATATAATAACTTTCTTTCTTTTTTCCAGACGCGGATACGTACATAGGTTAGTAAAACCCTTACCCGTATAATCCGCGTCTGGCCACTACTTCCAGCCAACCTCAATCAATTATTTAAACTTTCAAAAGGAGGTTAAAATTTTGTATATAATAGCTATATTGTTTACAACCAAAATCCAAATTTGCATGACGTTTTTTTCTTTTTTTTTAAATTCGTCTGAAAAGATATTTATCGAATGGATTGGCCAGATATATCACCAGACCTCAATCCAATGGAGAATGTTTGAGACTACTTTATCAGAGACAATTTATCGAGGAAGACTCTAGGCAACAACTGCCTTGAGTCTTCCTCGACAGTCGTGGCATGCATTAGAATAAAGGCATGTATTGTTTTCTTTACATGCCTGTCTGGGCACGTAAATAATCAATCATTAATACCGTAAAATTCCGATTAAATAATGTTCCTCAAATTTCGAATAAAATAGCCGAGATTTTGGAGAGAGGAAAAAAACTTCGACAAAGGCAGGAAAAAAATCTACAGTAATGGAAAAGATTGAAATATTATTTATTTTAACTCTTTGCTTATTATTTATTTTAACCCTTTTTTCAACAACCCAGAATATCAGTTGCTATCATGCGCCGTAGGTAAACGGTTAGTTACCTAAAATAAGAAGCTATTAAATAAAGCAAGCTCATTTCTTATTCTCTTAGTAAAGATGAGGAAATTTTTATTTAAAATAATTAATGTAAAAGTCTATAATATCATTTTGAACTAGACATTTTTGCTGACTTAAAATAAAAGTGTTGATATTGATATGTTGTTGTTAATGTTATTTTTTCAACGCATTAATAATCTTTTTATATATTTTCATTAATAATCAATTAAAATCGATGTTTGGGGCATGTTTTTTGTAGACAAACATGCTTGGTAGATTAAATTAAAATTTCGAAATTTTTCAAGCCGTTGTCTTCCCTACATATTTTGGTGTATAGTGCACCAAAGAAAAAAAAAACGAAAAAAAAATGGATTAAACTGAATAACTTTTGATATAATGACGGGATCTTCATGTTTTTTTAACTCAATCTTGATGTCTCGAGAGGGTGATCTCAAATATGCTACTTAATAAGTTCAGACGATATTTTAAGTTAGGAAAATGAACTTTCTCTGAATAAACATACCTTTTTTTCGTGGGATTCAGATTTCTGACCCCCGAATTATAGGGGGTAGCCACAATTGAATTTCAAAAAAGTCAGATATTTAAAATTTGATTTTTCAGGAACTATTCGGCCGATTTGTCTCAAATTTTGAATTTTGCCATGAAGTTATATTCCTTAAATTGATAAAAAAAAATTTCATACCTTACAATTCAACAGTTTTTCGACCATTTTTAAATAATATAATGAAAAATAATAAATATTTACTCGAAACTATTTTTTGCATGGAATTATCTTGCCTAAACAAATTTCATATTTGTGGGCAAATATAGATTTCAATTTGCTTAAAAAGTTCTCGAAATATAGCGAAATACGCAAAAAGTAAAATTAACTTTAAGGGGTCCAAACTTTGGAACTCTCCTCTGATCAAACTCTCGAGACCATATTTCCCAGATTGCAACTACCCCTATATTTTGAGCGTCAGAAATCCGAAACAGTAAAAAAAAGAGTTATGCTTATTGAGAGAAATTACAAAGTACATTTGTGACTGATTTTGTAACTCAAAATATCGTCTGCGCTTATTAATTAGGATATATGAGGTCATCCCCTCGTGCCATTAAAATTGAGTTTTAGATCGTGAAGATCCAATCATTAGATCAAAAGTTATTCATGTTTGTCAGTTTTTTACTATTTTTTTGCACAGTGTGCGTTGACATACAAAGTTGATGTCCCCAATACGTTGCAGTTTAGAATGAGCATCTTCCACACTTTTATTAATTTCGTAAATTTTGTCCCAGTAATGAATTTTCTTCATAAAACTAAGACGTATTGTTTTCTTAAAGAAGGAATTGTTCTGGTGCTTATTGTTGCCAAAAAAATGTCTGTGTTTGAATTTTCATAAATTTCTATATTACAGTCAGTAAAAAAATTGATTGCGATTTTTGTTGTTCTATTTCCGTATTCATTATATATATGCGTAGACAAGAGGTTATTTTACTTTTAGAACAATGTGTAAAATTCATTAATTATTGATTATATATTCTTTAGTATACGTTATTTAGTATATATTATTATGTATCATTTATTATTATTACAATTATTTATTATCATTTTATATTATTATGCATTATTTAATGTTTTTAACCAATTGTTGCTCGTCGATTTAAACATGATTTAACAATTTATGCTTTATGTTTTTTCTTCTAGCTTCACAAACGTATGGATCCAGTTCTCTTAAGGCAAACGTTTCATGTTGAATCCTATGATCAAGGTAAGTTTTTGAATTAAAAATATGTCCAGATATTACACATTTTCCTCTTTAAGTGATAGTTATATCCTTTATTTTTTTGTTGTGATATTTTTTTATTTTAAAAACCTGGTACATAAATTTTAAATTTAAACTCTGAAAGATCTAATAGGGCTTTTACGCTGTAAAAACGAATACTCAAGCATTACAAAACTCAACACAATTTTTGACGAAACCGTTTATACTCCGACTGCAAAATTTCGGTGAAGTGACAAAATATTGTTATTTCTTCGAGAAAACAAATTTAAGAAAAATAAAACACTTTTTCTAGTGAAAGACATTCTTTAAAGACCTTTTCTAATGAAACTGTTTCCTAGTACTATAATCAGAGTGAAAATTTCGTCATACTGACGAAATATCTGACATCTACGAGGAAACAAATTTCGCTAAAATTAAAGACATACTTCGTCATTCTATTTTTTTCAAACAAATCACTAAAAGGGACTCTTAGGGACTAATGCATCTAACTTTTCTTATAATCACTTTATCGTGGGTATCATATAGATGGATCCATACCGCCCAATAACACTGGTAGGACACATAGAACAAAGAAATAAATTACAACCATTCCGGAAGCGGGATCCAAACCCGGGATCTTCCTGACACGAGGCCAACTCATTGAATACCATAAAAGCGCTTAGGCACATTTCGTCCCTTTATTTTCGATCGTCTAGTCATCATCTTGGTTTCGTCAATCTTGTTAACAATCTCCCACAATGCACTGCGATGATGTATCGAGATGATAAAACATTGTCTTACATTTGAGAGTTCGCGTTTCGACATAAATCACTGTGTTTTTGTGACGAAATGATCCTCAAAGTTATCGAAATACAGCTCAAGGATTGCTGAATCGTCAAAAGTAAGTTTCATTTCTGAGAGTATAGAAACTGAAGAAGACAGCTTGGATATGAGTTGTATTTTAGATGTTATTCAATATTTAGACATTATACAAGCTTTTGTTGAAATATGCTTTATTAAAATTTCATGGAATAAAAACTTCTAATTATAATATAATTTAAAATTTTTTTGATAAGCATAAGCATTTTATTATTATTATTTACATTAAAACGAACATACATGAAATATTTTTGTTACCTAGGATCACATAATCCATAATGGCAACTGTGGTATTATATATCCAGCCCCAAAAAGCCATGCAAGCTAAAAACTTGCTACACAACGAAATACACTCTATAGTCTTAAGGTCCAAACCAAAACGAAACTAACTATGTGATATAGCACAGCAACCATAAAAGCTACATATAATAAATTCACACAACGAAATAAAAAGACGGCACATGAAGCAGAATATACGAAATGTAAAAAGCATTCGACATTTTATTGGATAACAGGGTGGTTGACAGGGTCATTTAAGAGTGGCGAATACACGTAAATGTTTGTTGTCACACTGTAAAAAATTCCGAACGGCTTAAAGAAACGGCACATAGGCACATTCATGAAATCCATTTTTACATTCCGTAATTTTTAAAGTAATGTTTATTTAATTAAGTTTTTTTCATCTAATTAGGAAGAATAAGGGTTTTTGAACTGGATTTAAGTTTAAAAAAGGAACACTTTTTGGCATAAATTATTTCAGAGGAGAATAATATAAGGGTCTATTCCATTTTAATTGCACAAGTGCTCCCCGCTCTATTTGAGCCGAATCGAGTATTAAACTAGCAATATATTTCAGAACAATTTTTATAGTTCTATCAGTATTGTAATTTTATATCAAAAGCGTGATAATAAAACTTAACCTTGAACACACTTTGTTCAAATATAATATGTTTTTATTTTAAGAACACATAACTTTTACATATAAAAGACTTGCAGAGAAATAAATGAATTTGAACATAATAACCACCTTTCAGTTAACAAAAAATTTTATTTCCTTATCTGTAAATATCTCACGACATGGCAATTTGTTGCATAATGCTAAATTGTTTTTCTGATTAAAAAAATGAGTGAAAATGTTTATAAAAACAATTATTATTTTGTTCTGAAAAATTTGTGACTGAATAAAATTCTTTTGAAGGTTATGTAAGTATGTTAGTCGAAGGAGAGTAGAATGTTTAACTTGTAAACGAATTTTGACGCTTTGAGGTTGATTGAGCAAGTTGGTATTGTTTTAAATAAAAGTGAACAATAAAGTATGCGGATACAATGAGTTTTAGATTTTTTTTAAATCTAAAATCTTCATTTACATTGTCATAGTACATTTTTCGAAGTTCTTAATCGTTTTTAATGATAAAAAGCCCTCTTAATGATGCCTCTAATTTTGCATTTAAAAATAATAGATACAAAATTTTGGGCATTTTTGGACTTTTTTATTGTTTTATAATTAAATAATGAACTTAATTGCCTTTCACATAAAAAACAGTACTTTCATATCCATAAGTATGGAAGAAAGGATTTGATTTTTGTTTCTTCTGCTATCATAAAGTCTAACTTGAATTCTGAATGTTTTCTTCAACTTAGGCAAGTTTTCTTTTCTTTTTTTGGATGAATTTTGAAACGATTTGTTGTATTTTACAATGTTTAAAAGAAAATAACTTTCTTAAATTTAAAATATTTTTATCTAAATGTTCTACTGTATCTTCAAAAAATATTAAATAAGTTAAAAATAATAATAAATAGAAAAATATGGCACCTTAAAAGCATAAATGTAGTTTTCTAAAATGCTAACTTCAAAAAAAAAAAAAAAAAAAAAAAAAAAAAAAAACCCGCTGAAAATGCAATAAAATATGGACATTAAGTATACAAAAAACTTGGCTGTAACTCATAATATTTTCAGTTACATCAAAAATTGAAAACCCTAATTTTTTAATTAATATATCAGGGAAAACTTCTAAATATTATGGTGAGCTAATTAGAATAATTGGACGATTGAAAACTATTTAACAGAAAGATATTCCACGCAGAAATACCACAAAGAGTATGCATTGTTACAATATTGCCGAAAATACCAGAATACGGTAACATTTACTGTGTTTCTGGCTCTAGGGTACCCTCTAAAAGCTTGGTTTATTTTACCGAGGCGCTTTGGTAAAGGTATTGATTAAATTAACTATATAATTTTAAAATTCGAAATAAAATTTTGTAAGTGTATTAAAATTTAATAATTCTATCATGATACTTTAGAACATGCCATAAAAGCCATTTTTTCAGTTAAATTTAAATTTCCGTTTTGTATTTTTTGTGTTAATAAGAGCTATAATTTTGAGAACCTGAACTTCCGGTAAACCGCTACAGAAAAATTACCCAATGCGTTTAAATTGCGCATATTTCGGTTTTACCTACCACAAAAAAAAATTTTTCTTACCAGAAATGTTATTAATAACGTTCGGTAATTTTACCAAAATATTTTTCTCTGTAAACACAATTCATGGAAATTTTCAAAAATTGCTTATTAATATTAATAATAAAATATGATTGTTTTGTAAAGGTGTAATATTCCATTACCTCTCATTGAAGAGAAAGATTGGTGTACAATCAATGCGTGTTAATCTAGAGCAAAAATTTCTGTCTAACGGAATTTGGAAAGGCTTTAGGTGACACGGATATGACAACATCCAAAACTTTCTGATTTTACAGAGTTAATTAAGCGTTTGAAATGGTAATAACCTGGACAAGTATCTCGAAAAATTAATAATCTCTAGAAATAGCTATTTTTTGGGCAGGTCTTTTTGTTTCCAAAAAAACCACAAACAAAAAAAAGGGAAGAAAAGAAAAGAAAAAGAAACGAGTATGAACAAGATGCGCTAATGAAACTTGAAAAGCGCTGAGTTTGAATTGGAAGGCATTTTGAAAAGTTTTAGAAGAACTACACAAAGAGGAAAAAAATCCTGGTAAAATTATCAAAATGGCAATGCAACAAGATTTCTGATAAAAGAAATCATATCTGATTGATAAATCCAAAATAAACGGCATTTAAACCATTCATTCTGTTTATGTGGTAACGGTTAAACAGAAATTCTGGTTTTCAAAATTATAACTCTTATTACTACACATTTAGTAAGAAATGCAAAACTGAAAAATAAAGGCAACCGAATAAATGGTTTTCATGCCATGCCCTAAGATATTATGATAAAATTACCAGTTTTATCGCATTCACTAAATTTTATCACTTATTATAAAATTATATTTTATTATTAGCTTTATCAAAACCATTAACAAAGCTCTCCGGTAAAGATTACCGAACTTTTTGATGTTGCCATAGAGTCAGAAATACGGTAAACTTTATCATATTCCATCAGTTTTGACCACATTCCCCCCCCCCGAAGCACCAATGATTTGACAATAAAGATGCTGTTAACATAGATTACAATTTGACTTAGTTTATTATTTTTAAAAATTTTTTACCGTAATTTAGACATGAGCTTTACTTTTTTGAAGATTTTAAATCCGAAATTTCAGATTCATTTAAAATTATAGATTCTAATTCGGATTTTGTCTTCTAACTTTTCACTTGAACGCTAATCTTTATAGCTGTCTTCGTTAAAAAAATTAAATGTGTTTTTAATTAAAAATATTAAAAATAAAAGGTTATCATTTTAAAGAAACAATGAAGAAGTACTTTTCCTTCTTGGTTTTCGGTCACAATTATAACACGAAATTTATTAATCATATCCACTCAACTAAGTACTATAACCAGGAAATAGTTTTGTTTAGCGAAGAGCTTGTTATAATTTCTATACAAATTGTGATGATTTTACCTCCTACCTATTTAGTTCCTGCAGTTGCGTGCTTTTAGACAAGGCGTTATATTTATGTTTACTTTAATACCTAAACGGCATGACTCACTGACAAAAACGCCAAGTGCTTAACTCGTGACGGAGACCGTCTGTTTCTGAGAGATTGAAAAAAATTTTAATGACGGCTCATCTTTAAATCAAAACATCAATCCCACCCCTATAGAGCTGCGTAAAAGGTGCCAGTTCTTCTTGAGCGTTGGCAAACCAAGG